GGTCCGTGAGTTCGAGCCCCGCGTCAGGCTCTGGGCTGACGGCTCAGAGCCTGGAGCCTGCTTCTGATTCTGTGTCTCCCTCTCTCTCTGCCCCTCCCCCGTTCATGCTCTGTCTCTCTCCGTCTCAAAAATAAATAAAACGTTAAAAAAAAATTAAAAAAAATGTATGTATATATACACATACACACACACACATATATATGGATGTTATGAAAAACTTCACACCAACATATTTGAAAATTTATAAAAAATGGGAACATCTTTGAAAAACACAAATTTACCCAAACATTACTCAAAAAGTAGAAAATATAAATGATCCTATACATATTAGAGAAATTTCATTATTATAAAATTTCTGACAAAAACAGTTCCAGGTTTAGATGGCTTCATCAGTGAATTATTCTTCTAAAGAAATAAACCTCCGTTACACAATCTCTTTCAGGTAACAGAAAAAGAAGGAACACTTCTCATTTCATTTTATGTGGCCAACTCAACCTTAATACCTAGGTCCTTACAAGAGAGTAAAATCACAGATCAATCTCTCATAACATATGTAAAAACTTGAGCAAAATATTAGCAAATGAAGTCCAATGATGTATAAAAAGGGTAACATATCTACCAAGCATCCCCAAGACCACCCCCCAGATTCAATGATTTGCTGGGAGGACTCACAGGACTCAGCATACAGTCCTGTCCATGGCTTTGATTTATTACAATGAAATGATACAAAGCACAGTCACAAAAAGAAAACGTGAAGTCTAGAGGAAACCAGGAGCAAGCTTCCAAGAATCCTCTCCCAGTGGAATCACATAAGATGTGCTTAATTCCTCCAGCAAGTTCTGACGACACGTAGGAAGTGTTGTCTACCAGGGAGGCTCATTAAAGACTTGGGTGTCCAAGGGGGCACCTGGGTGGCTCAGTCGGTTAAGCAACTGACTTCGGTTCAGGTCGTGATCTCATGGTTTGTGGTTCAAGCCCCGCATTGGGATCCGTGCTGACAGCTCAGAGCCTGGAGCCTGCTTCAGATTTTGTGTCTCCCTCTCTCTCTCTCTGCCCCTCCCCTGCTCATTCACCATCTCTCTCTGTCTCTCACAAATAAATAAACGTTAAAAATAAATAAAGACTTGGGCGTCCAAGGATTTTACCAGGGGCTGGCTACATAAACAACTTCTGCTTAATATGCACCTACTAAAACTCCAGACTCCTGGAAGGAGACAGGTGTTCAGCAGAAACCACATAGTTTGTACAAACAGTTTAGGCACAGTGAGCCACTTTGGATTGGTGGAAACGTTTTTGAAATCCGAGTTGCCAGACAGTGGTCAAAGGCGAAGCTTTGCAAGTAGGACTTCCTAAGGATAGCAGTCCCAGGCCTGCTCTGTCAACTGTTTTCTGCATGGTATCATCACCAAATGGGTTTCTTTCCAGGAAGGCAAGGCTAATTAAACCTTTGGAAATCAATGTAATTCATTCCATTAGCAGAATAAAAGGATAAAATATGATCATCTCAATAGATGCAGAGAAAGCAGTCAATAAAATATATCATCAGCCTGTCAGCAAACTAGGAAGAGAAGGGACTAAAAAAAATTTTTTTTAATGTTTATTTATTTTTTTTTGAGAGAGAGAGATAGAATGTGAGTGGGGAAAGGACAGAAAGGGAGGGAGACACAGAATCCAAAGCTGGCTCCAGGCTCTGAGCTGTCAGCACAGAGCCCCATGCGGGGTTTGAACTCACCGACCATGAGATCATGACCTCAGTCGAAGTCGGATGCTTAACCAACTGAGCCACTCAGCCACGAGAAGGGACTTTCTTAATGTGACAGAGTATCTACCAAAAAAGAAAAAAAAAGTCTATATTTAACATATTGATGGTGAAATTTTTTTCTTGTGATGAGAACTTTTAAGATTTTCTTCACAACTTTCCAATTTGCAATACAATATTATTGACTATACGTTAGCATGATGTACATTACATCCCCATGACTACTTTGTTTTATAACTGGAAGTTTGTATCTCTCGATCCCCTTAACCCATTTTGCCCACCACTCACCCTCATATCCTCCCGTCTGGCAGCCATCAAATTATTCTTTGTATCTATGAGTTTTGTTTGTTCATTTTTTTTTTACGTTTATTTTGAGAAAGAGAGAGAGAGAGCAGGGGAGGGGTAGAGAGAGACGGAGAAAGAATCCAAAGCAGGCTGTGTGCTGTCAGCGCAGAGCCTGATGCTGGGCTCGAACTCTCGAACTGTGAGGTCATGACCTGAGCTGAAGTCAAGAGTCTTCAAGAGTTGCTCACCTGAGCCACCTAGGTACCCCTGTTTTGTTTCCTTTTAGATTCCACCTGTAAGTGGAATCATCCAGGTATTGTCTTTCTCTGACTTATTTCATTTGGCATAATACCCTTAAGCTCTATCCATGTTGTTGCAAATGGCAAGATTTCTTTTATGGCCGAGTAGTATTCCATTGAATATATAGAAAGAGCACATCTGCTTTCTCCACTCATCCGTTGACAGACGCTTACTCTTTCTGTATTTAGCTATTGCGAATAATGTTGCAGTGAACACAGCGATGTATCTGTCTTTTCAAATTAGTGCTTTTGTTTTCTTGGGACGAATACCCAGTAGTGGAGTTACTGGGCCATGTGGTATTTCCATGTTTTATTTTTTGAGGAACCTCCATGTTTTCTAGAAGGGCCGCGTTAATATACATTCCCACCAACAAGTGCACGAGGGTTCCCTTTCCTCCACATCTTGTCAACATTTGTTATTTCTTGTCCTTTAGATACCAGCCATTCGGATAGGTGTGAGGTGACATCTCATTGTGGTTTTGACTTACATCTCCCCGATGACTAGTGACGTTGAGCATCTTTCCATGTGCCTGCGGGCCATCGGTAGGTCTTGTTTGGAAAAATCCTGTTCAGGTCCTCTGCCCGTTTTTTTTCATTAGATTTTTGTCTGTTTTGTTATTGAGCTGTATAAATTCTCTATAGATTTTGGATCTTAATCCCTTACTGGATACATAACTACATTGTAATTGCTCCCTCCTCCAGGCGCCCTGGCTTATTAGGCTGCTTGCTCAGAAACGTGCTAAGTCCTTGCCCTGGGCTTCTCGGCTGAGGCATCTATTGTGTGCACCTCCATCTGGGCTCACAGGACTTGAGTGCCGGGAAACCAGGTATGTTCCCGCTGCTTGCTGTGCTGTGAGCAATTCAGTCTTATCCCCTACTCTGGGCACCTACAGAGTCGTGGCAATTTTACTCCTCGCCATCCTCTATGACAGAGGTGACAACGTTTTTCTTAAAGGGCCAGCTGCAGTATTCCAGGCTGCAGGCCACGTTTTCTCTGTTGGCAACCACTCAGCTTAACCACGGTAGCCTGCCGGAAGCTGTTTACAGTATGCAAATGAGTGGATGTCGTTGTGTTTCCCCCCTCAGAATTTTAAGTACAAGAACCAGCAGCTGGCCCACCTTCCTTCTCGGTTGGGACATGTGAGGCTCAGAGGAACCTGCCTAATGGCTCTTATCCAGCAGGCAGTGGAGGTAAGGAAGTGGAGGTGAAGGTGGCCCTTTGTTGGTACATCCCTTTCCACCTTTCCCCACTTTAGTCTCTGCTTTTTTTCACCGGTGCTAAAGAAAACCTCCAGCTTGCGGTTAAGTTCCTAACAATGGGAGGCACGAGCCGAGACCGGAAGACAGGACAGGGGAGGGAAACGTAATCGTAATTCAGCCACCAGCTTCTCAGACCGCCGCCCCCTGGCGGGAGGACTTCTCCCTACGTCTCTCCAGGTGCATGGAGTTGCTTCTGCTCTTTCCCCTTTAGGACTAACAAGAGATTACCGTCCCACCTCCATTCCAACTAGGTAGGAGCACAGCACTGTCCTTAAAGGTTAATCACTCGACTCAAATGACCTGTTTCTTGCTCTGCGGGGACTGACTGCGGGTCAACAGTCAAGCCAGCTGGAGTCCTCTAAAAACCCTCTTTCTTTCCACTCCCCTGCGGGAAGTAACACACTTTACTCCACGTTGTCGTCAGGCTTCAAAACCCAGTTCACAGGCCATCTCTTGGAAACTTCTTTTTCTTCTTTCTTTCTTTCTTTCTTTCTTTCTTTCTTTCTTTCTTTCTTTCTTTCTTTCTTTCCTCCCTCTTTCTTTTCTTTCTTCTTTCTTTCTCTCTTTCCCTTCCTTTCTTTCTCTCTCTCTCTTTCTTTTCTTTCTTTCTGGAGACAGTGTTTCTATTATTGTTTTTAATGTGCGTTTATTTGTTTTAAGAGCACACCAGCCTGAGAGCGGGGGGAGGGGCAGAGAGAATCCCAAGCGGACTCCCAGTCCTCAGGGCAGAGCCTGACAAGGCGTCCATCTCACGAAGTGTGAGATGTGAGATCATGACCTGAGCCAAAATCAAGAGCCCCAGCTTAACAGACTGAGCCATCCAGGGACCCTTTGGGAACTTCTTTCAGGTCCCACCCAGGAGTACTTTGTCCTCTCAACTCCCCCTGCACGTTCTGGGGTCACGTGGTGATTACGTTTCATCTGTGTGTCTCATCCGTGCTCCTTGGAAGGAGCCTCTAGTTCTCATTCGCTTTGGTGTCCGCTAACTACCTGGTTCGTAAATCCGCCACACAAAAGACCGATGCTAAACCCAACCAGGCGTTTGCCCAGCACCGTCGCGCAAACCGTTTCTCATTAAGACCGCTATTAGAAAAAAGAATCGTGGGGCTAAGGCCTATTTACCAATCCCGCGGTCACACCGCCACAACTGACCACTTCTGCCAATGCATTGTCACCTGGGGCTGGGGGGGCCGAGAACTGTCCCTGCCCCGGAGCCCTGCGGCCGACGGCTTCGGGCGCAGCCGCTGACCCCCCTAAGCCTCAGCGAGCCGAAATCCCAGCGCAAGCCTTTTGCGCCGGCAGTCCTCCCCGCGCACGCGCAGCCTGCCCCCGGTCGGGCCCGGGCCCTGGAAGCCATAGAGTGCCGGGGATAAGCAGAGGGACCAGAAAGCCGGGGTCGCTCCATCTCCTGCTTCCGGCTGCGCCTCGCTGCTCTGGGAGCGGCTGTAGCGGCGTACGCAGTTTCCATGGAGACTGAAGATGGCGCCGCGAGGTGAGATTCCGGAGGTGTGTGAGTCGCTGGTCCTGATGCCTTCAGTGCCCCTCTCTCCCCTGCCAGAGCTCGACCTCAGCTCTTCTTCTCGGGTGTTAGGGACATCGCTCCTCACCTGTCCAGAGTGGGGTTCGAGCCCCACCCACGCTGAGTGCGTGAAGGTCTTGAGGTGCAGATCTCAGAAACTCCCCAATCCTGGGCTCGGCCTGTTCTAGGCAGGATCGGTTACAGATTTGCTGTGTGACCTGGAACAGGCCATTGTTGGCCTCTGCGCACCAGTTTCTTCTCCCAAATAGTGACGGGGTTAGATCTTAGAGCGGCCTTGCCTTTCACCCCGAAGCCGAGTCGAGTTGGACGGCGATTCCCGGGGAAAGGGGGGATTGAAGGAAGCCCCCTACACACACACGCACGCACGCACACACCTTCATCATCATCAATCGGAAGTGCCCCGAATGGCCTTTCCCACTACTGCGACCTCGTGTGTTCTTCAAGTTAGATACCGAACCATTCGAAGAACAGAGATTGAACAGAGATCGCCCCCCCCCCCACCTCTTTTTTGTGCTTATCTTTTCAGGTAAACGACTCTCCTCCACCCCGCTGGAAATCCTGTTCTTTCTGAACGGGTGGTATTATGCCACCTACTTCCTGCTGGAACTCTTCATATTTCTGTATAAAGGTAAGGCCTGGGGCTTGACTACCATTGGCCCCAACATCCCTTCCCCACTTCAGCCCAGAGCCAACTCCCATCAAGTGCCTTCTTATTTTTCATTCTTTCCTGTAGCTCCTCTTCGCTGCAAGGTAGAAGGCTCTTCATCATATGGCTTCTTTGAGAATGATTCAGTAGGAAGCCCCGCAGCAAGAATCTCCTGAGTTTGAGAAATGTGGGCTTCTTCATCCTTACTCTCCCTCATCGCCTCTTTTCAATACTGCACGTTAAGCTCATTGGTGACCCTCAGGATCTATTCAGCGGCCAGTGTACCCTTGTAGATCCGATCATTTTGGAGAATGGGGTCCTCACAGACTTTGGCTTAGGAGTAAAATCTCCTAATAATGCGCGTGCCTCCAACAGTCGCACTATGAGTTAACATATCCTGCAGCAGGTGAACAGATCCTGCCCATACCTTGTGAACTAGTTCATGGAAAGCTGATAAGACTCGTGCCCTCATTATCCCCAGGTGTGTGGGTGTTCTTGTGGGTGCCGGTGTATGCTGTTTGCAAACTCTGGCTTTTGTGTTGGCAGCTCTCCTCCTACCATACCCAACAGCCAATCTAGTCCTGGATGTGGTGATGCTCCTCCTTTACCTTGGAATTGAAGTGATCCGACTGTTTTTTGGTGAGTGTTGGCCAGAGAATCCTTCCATTCCCTCTGAGAAGAACTGCTACCTGTAACTTGATTAACCAGAACAAGTACATAACCTAGTCTCACAGTAAGAGATTGGATCTAGTGGGATGTCTCATTATGCCCTCTCTGAAGTTTCAAGCGGCTTCCTATTTTGGGTCAGATCTGTTTGTGTGTTGCTCTGTAGGGGCAGGAGTGGGCAGTAGCAGGAGATTTTAGATTGTTCCTCCCGAACTGCATAACTGCCAAGAGAGCCTGGTTCCTCTCCCTGGTTTGCTTGGGAGAATAGATTTACCTGGAAGGAACTCCATGTTCAAGGCAGTGCATGTCACCCGAGTCAGCACTCAGGTCCCTTCCACTTCTCTGAACAGGGGTTTCTGTAGGACAAGTTTATCCTCAGGTCTAGAGCAAACCTCCTATTAGTTAGAATAGCTCATCCCATAAAACACAAAGAAGAAACAATACTTCCAACACATGTAATGAAGGATGAAGAAGGTCCACATAAATCAATAAGGAAAAGACAACCTAATTTTAAAAACTGTTAAGGGACACGAATAGGCAGTTCCCATAAAAATAAGAAGAGGATCAACAATCATGATAAAATGCCCAAACTCAATAATAAAAAGCAAATTGAAACAACAAGGTAACAGTTTCATCCAGCAGATTAAAAGGATTTCCAGGGGCGCCTGGGTGGCGCAGTCGGTTAAGCGTCCGACTTCAGCCAGGTCACGATCTCGCGGTCCGGGAGTTCGAGCCCCGCGTCAGGCTCTGGGCTGATGGCTCAGAGCCTGGAGCCTGTTTCCGATTCTGTGTCTCCCTCTCTCTCTGCCCCTCCCCCGTTCATGCTCTGTCTCTCTCTGTCCCAAAAAAAAAAAAAAATAATAAATAAAAAAAATAAATAAAAGGATTTCCAAATACCTAGCATTAGATTGGGTGTGAGGACCAGGTCTCTATATTCCCACACTCTTTGGGAACGTAAATTACAGCAGTCATTTTGCTAATCGTTTTGCCATGTAAAATTGTATTCTTGGATCTAACAATTACACTTCTAAAACTGGGTGAAAAAAACAAACACTTCCACAGATATGTAAAGATATCGATGTGTTTTGTAACCTGAAAACATTAGAGGGGTGCCTGGCTGGGTCGGTCATGGAGTGAGCGACTCTTGACTTTGGCTTGTGAGTTCAAGCCCCAAGTTGGGTGTAGAGATTACTTAAAATAATACATTCTTAAGAAAAAAAGAAATTAGAAACAACCTAAACATCTGTCAGTACAGGATTAGTTAAATTATGGAATTGCTTCAGTGAAATCGTTCATAGCGATTAAGAAAAGAATAAGGTAGTTACATGTGGCAAGCTGTCTAACTCCTGTTAAATGGGAAAAAAATGTAAGTTGAAAACAGTATGTAGAGTATGATTCCATTTTTATAATAATAGTAATATGTAAGTATACACACATAACAAAATCTGAAACAATATACATCGTTCCATAAGAATGGCTATCTCCAGTGAGGAATCATGGGGTCTTTTTAGTTTCTAGATTTTCTAAAATTATTTTCTGTATTTGTATTAGTTGGAAAGTTTTCAATGATTATATAATTAAAAAAAATATTTCTCCCCAAGTAAAGAACCCATTGTCCCAGAGTGGGAGCCAGACCTGAAGCAGGACCTTTGGAGTGAATGACTCCAACCCTAATGGCTCCTCCAAAGCCTCTCATTTTGAGCACAGAGGGACCCCACTTATAATCCTGCCCATCTCCATTCAGGACCAGTTTTCTCTGCCTTGCCGGTCCATCCCATCCCATCCCATCCCATCCCATCCCATCCCATCCCATCCCATCCCCCCATTTTCTCTGAGCCCAGGGAAAGCAGGCCACTGGAGGTGACCCCATGGGCTGTGTCTGACAGGTACCAAGGGAAACCTCTGCCAACGAAAGATGCCACTTGGTATTAGTGTGGCCTTGACCTTCCCATCTGCCATGATGGCCTCCTATTACCTGCTGCTACAGACCTACGTGCTCCGCCTGGAAGCCATTATGAACAGCATCTTGCTTTTCTTCTGTGGTTCCGAGCTGCTGCTTGAGGTGCTCACCCTGACTGCTTTCTCCAGGTACTGCTGCTGAGGGACCATTTCCTGTCACCTGAGGGTTGGGTTCCCATCCCGTCCTAGGGAGGGATTCATTGTTCTTCTGAAGCCTGACGGGTCTCTAAAGGATTGCTAAGGGGAAAGAGGTGTCTGTGAGATTGCTTTTCCTATTTAGGGTAGACCGTTACCCAGGGAAGACATTCTCCTTGTTCTTTGGGGCCAAGAGGCTTGGAATATAGGCTTGGAATATAGAACAGTTCAGGCCAGTCGCTTTTGTTCACTGGTCTTTTAACATTTTCTTTCTTTCTTTCTTTCTGCCATCAGTATGGACAGGATTTGAAGTGCAAAAATTTCAGCCAGCAGTCCTCAGGGGCTGAGACCACAGATACTTCTGGTCTTTAGGCACACCAGTGAGAAGTGGTGGGTCACGTTGTCCCGGGAAAGTTGCAGCTTTTCCTCAACACAGATATTTGGGCAACAAACTGAGCATCAGGCCACTGGGCATCATCTTCTAAACAAGGACCATCAGCCTGAGAGACTGTTCTACACACCAGTGTAGGGAGGGGCAAGGCTGTCCCAAGCTGGCCCTTCTCAGAACCAGTTCCCTGCTGCCCTCAAGTCCTCTGTGATCCTTGTGGCCAGAGCCTCTTGTGTGGACCACGGAGGCTCGTTGGGCTTCCAGCAGGACTGGAGCCCCACACTCCCCGTACGTGCCGTGCCACCCCTGTCACCCAAGCACAGAGAGCCTCAGGATGTCTGCCCCTAGAGTGACGCAAAAGCCTCTCACCTCATTCCTCAGAGACTGAGCTCCGGAACTTTTTTAGTAGCTCATAGTGTTATTTTTCTACTCTCATCATGAAACAAACATTATTTTATAATAAACATGTATTTTCCATCATGGGGGTTGCAGCCTTTTTCTTACGGCACCTGTCCCTAGAATTTCATCCACAAGGGAAGGGAGCGACTGTCCCGGCAGGTTTTTCTCAGGCTGTGCTCGGCGACCCAGCGTGAACGCAAAGGCAGCGATGACTTTCTTCCCCCAGCGGTAGCCTAGATTAATCCCTAAAGGCAGCAGTTTCCGTATCTTCTTCAGGCCTGTCATCCTGTAAAAGACTCTGCTTTATATTCTTTGCCTCTGCCCCCAATCCCGCATCCCCGCGTCTTTTCCCTCCTTCCTCTTACAGACAGCTGTCAGCTGCTTTCCAGAGTGAGGCATAAATAATTGGAAGAGGTATAGTCAAAACTTGGCAGCATTTTTGTCATCTAGTTTAAAATTTCAATTTAATGTAAAAGGAAACCCTTTTTTTTTTTTTTTAATAAGCTGGGGAAATATTGTCCTATCTTAGTACATCATTCCCTTCTCCAAGCAAGAGAAATATTGTCCTGAGTACATCATTCCCTTCTCCAAGCGACCAGCTTTAAACCTGTTTCTCATCTTACTTGGTAGTGGCTTTTTTTTGTTTATTTTTCTAAGTCCCAGGACACATGACAGAATTCACTTTAGAAACCCTTGAGCCATATGGCTCTTTGCTATCAGATGAATCCTCTGATATCTACTCTTGCTCCCTGTAGAAAGTGAATTGGTCTTTAAGTGTTTTCATGCTGGTTTTTAATTCTGCTTATTTCCTGGGATTGAGCTCATTTTCATCCTGTGAAGGTCACCGCTGTCCAAAGCACTGAGACTTTTCTCGTTTCCTACCTCTTCTGTGTCCTTGCCTCCTAGCTGCCTTTGGGGTCTATCCGAAAGCTATAGTAGACAGGTGTAATCAACCACGAGAAACAGTCACAAAAAATCCAGTGGGAACCTCCCTGATATTTGTCACAAACCCCGCTAATCCCCTGACTTTTCTGCTGCTCACACTGCTTTCTCTATCTGTGCTTTGAAGAAGTTGCTGGCATCAAACTGGACAGGAACTTTTTCCATGGCCTCCCCGTTTCTTCGAGAGGTTCAGTGGTTAAGGTCACTCTCCTGGCAACACAGATAAAGGAATGAAAGACTCTGTTGAAGTTTAGAGTTGGCTTATAATTTAAAACGGACCTTAGAAATGAATCTAATCCCCCACCTTGCAGGCTTAGCGATGAGGAACAGCCAAGCCTCACACACCTGGTTAAACAGCTGGAAATAGAAACCTTGTCTGAGGAGTCTCCGTTTAGATCAAGCAAACTCTATTTCAACAGGTACCGCTTGAGGAAGAGAAGGAGTGGTTGAAAATGGGGATAGGCTACAACAGGAAGTCCCCTCATTTTTTCATGCTTATCTGGGAGCTTCGTGCCTCTTGCTTCCTGTGTATGGCTCCACCCATGTTCAATCTTCCTGGTGCTTGTTGGAGCCACCTGTGCGGGTGCAGTCACACCAGAGTAGAAAGAACATCATTCAACAGACACCGAGGCAGCAGAGGACAGGAATGAGGACAGCTAGCCTTTCAGGGTCAGTGTGGTACAGTGGAGAGGACCTGAGTGAAGGAGCAGGCCGTGGTTATAGGTGCTGGTAGAGACCTGCTCAGATATTCACACTCGTGGCTAGAGCTTGTCAAGTGACTGCAGTGGCCATCTCTAGAGGCTGAGTTGTGGCCCAGTTCAGGAAGCACTTTGGACCCACAGATTCAGGTTTCTGGCTCTATACCCTGACAGCAATGTGTAGGAGACTACTGTCCCATCCAGGGCCTGGCAGAGTATATTTTAATCCATGCTTCGATCCTAGGAGGCAGAAAATCAACTTGAATGTGAAGTCAACTTGTGTCTGAGCACATTTAGCTTAAAAAGTAAGAGTTGGGATTTGAGCCTAGAGTAACCCAAAGGTCATCCCTTTCTGTACCACCATGGTAGCTCTCCGATGAAGGATGTGTTTCCTTCTCTAAGCCACCAGTCCTCACGCTTTACTTTACATGAAAGTCATCTGGAGCTTAAAAAGTAGGTTTCTAGATTTCACGCAGAAGTGGATGCAGGCAGAGAAGAGGCACTTTTAGCAAGCACAGCATGTACCTGAGACGCAGGGGACCACGTTACTGGCCTGGACTAAGCACACTTACTTCCCTCACGCTGCTTCTGGTCATAGAGCTTCTGGGGCTCTCCCTCCCCCTGGAAGTGTTTTTTTATGCCAGTCTTGCCTGTGCTCGTCCCAATACTCATTCACTATCACCTGATCTCTGGTTCATCTTTTTATACATGTGACTCTCCTCTTGCTCACCTGGCTTTCTGGAATTCCAAGGAACTGACTCACAACACTTGGCTGAACTTTCCAAATGTGTACTTCCCGACGTTTAGACAGCAATCCAGTTTCCAAAACACGTTCACGTTATCTCTGATTCTTAAGACACCCCTGTGTGGAAGGCAGAATAGCTGTTCTCAGCTCAGAGGAGACAGGCTATGCTGCTGTCAACAGCCAGGTAAACAGACGGTGGAAGCAGGCACTGCGAGCACACTTCCTAAGTCCAGGCAGAGGAATCTTCCCTTCCTGAGCGTGAGAACATCAGAACATTCTCCTTACTCTGAGCATGAATCTTAGGGATCTTAAAGGATAAAGGACTTGGAATGTTTCTTTCCCTAGGTTAGATGGCTAAGGAAGAAGGCTAAGCCTCAAGGGGGGGCACTTCCAAAGGTTTGCACTAGAGGCCTCCTCGGTGCACCACAGGCGCCCGGGTGCCCGCCAGGCGATTCCAGCCGAGGGCTCAGGGTTCCGCTACCATCCCACAGACTCTCCATCAGCCCATGCCCACGTCCCAGACACCTCAACAAATCTATTCAATGCAGAATCCATAAAACAGCTCACACCCCATTTATTATTTAAAAATATTTTGTTACAAAAGGAAAAAAATACAATGCAGTATAAAAGATTGACAGCGTCATCAAGTTTATTACACAATTTTCAACCTATCAGAAAGACAAACAAATCACCGACAACAGGGGGACGGGGCCTTGGCTTTTTTGAGGGCTGGGTTTTTTTTTTTTTTTTTTTTTTCCTTTTGCTATCAGGAAATAAAACTAAAATTTGTGTCATTGAGTAAAAACAAAACAAAAGTGGGGAGAAAAAAATTCTCCGGGTAAACGGCTTTTCTGGTATTCTATATATTTTCTTCCTTAAACTGTCACCTTACTTGGTTTTCTCTACATTTTAAAAAGACACCCGGAGCTGCTCTTGAGGATAAGCACATCACTTAACACTTGGCCAGTTGGGCGGGGGGCCGTGTTCTGAAGTGGAGGTGGGGATGGGGTTGGGGGACAGGGGGAAAAAAGCTACAAACCTGTAGCCTCTGTCCCAAGGGAATGTGCCTCTCCAACCCTGGGGGGACCCCTCACTGACTGACTGAGGGCTATGTCAGAAACGTGCAGGGAACAGAGGAAGGGTTCGGTCCCACTCAGTCTCTCCCCTCTGAGCCAGAAGGGTCTCCAGTGACCCTACGTCTCACATGCCAAGTCTCATCTCACACGCCACGTCTCTTCTCGTGTCAGATGTCACATGCCCTGTAAATGCAGGCAGAAACAGCACCCATCGCCCCATGGGTACCGCAGGACCCCGTTGCCGCTTCTTCCTTCAGCAGCAACCACATCACAACTTAGATGTTATGGGAAAAGCAGTTCCATTTGCCTGTGTAGAAAACGGCCCCCAGAGTGGTGGTCCTTAGAACTCTGAGCTGAACTCATTCAAGTCAGGCTCCACTTCTTCCTTGCTCCCCATTAGAGGCAGGAAGTGCCTCCACGTAGAGCGAGGGGAGCTATTAAGTCAACAGTCAAAAGGTGGAAAGACACCACGTTTGTGACTTTACCTGCCTACTAGTGCCAGGTTATCCCACGATAAGTAAAGGTATGTACCTGGAGGATGTAAGCCCCTGCTCACATCGAACCTGAAAACAGAAAAGCCTATGGAAGTAGGCTCTCTCTTGCCCAGCTTGCCTCCTCTCCCACTCCTCCTGGTACTTCACAAGGGTTCTTCGTTGCTGAGGTCCGATGTCCCCATCTCCCAGTGGCAGTATCTTCCTCTAAAACAAGGAAGCAGCCTTCTTGGGGGAGGGGCTCCACGTGTGAAATGGAAAAGCCCCAGGAAAGGGAACACCTAGTACAGCTGGTTATTGCAAGAGGCGACCAAGCACGAAGCAGCAGAGGGTGGTAAGTGGCGCTGCCGGCTCCCCGGCAGAAAGCGACCTCAGGGGCCTTCTCTGCTCAGGAGGGGCAGGTCCACTGAGGCGGCTGGGCGGCAGGGGGCCGGAAAGGTTTGGCCCTTTGGGAGGTCAGGGAAACCAACCGTCAATATGTAAGAGGGAAACGCAAGAACAGGAGAGGCTTCTCATAAGGGAATTTCTGTTCTCAGGGTCCCTCTCAAAGGGCTGGGAGGGTAAAGGAGTTAAACAAAGAAGTGGTATGTTAGCAAGGGGTTTGGACCCTCTTGGCCCCATCAAACCTAGTGCTGAGGGCAGGACCCCGGGCGTATTTTGGCGCACCCAGTCCCTCTCCTAGATCCTGCAGGGAGGATCCATCTTCTTTGGGAAGAGAGCCTTCCCGCCAACCTCACCACTGAACCACTCCTGGAGAATCAGAAACTCCTACGTTTCCTTGGACAGAGCACCATTCTCTATGGAGACCAGGGGCCTGGACATGTTTTCTTCCTGTCTGCCACCCCTCCCAACCACACGAAGTCTTTAGGTTCGTTCCCCTGACAAACAGGAGGTGTGGGATTGGGAGGGCCGCCAGGCAACCTTCAATCCTGTAGGGCAGAGGGTATTCCCTGGGTGTCTGAAGGGGGTTAGGGGCTTGGAGGAAGGGGGAGGGGTGGAGTGGCCTCCGTCCTTTAGTCCTGATCAAGGTGAGGAGATGCAAGTCCATTAAAAAAACATTTGCTTCCAACCAGACTCCTGCAATGAGAACATCAGAAGAAAAGAAAGAAAACGCAAGTTAGAGGTTACTTTCCGAATGATGGGCTTCTATGAACGACACTGGCATTTTTCTCAAGTTACCACATACGAAGTAGCGCATATACACGGACTGCAAGCCTGGGAGGGTGAAAGCAAGCAGGCAAGACTGTCCGGGGGCGTCCGGCACTGTGAGCAGCGACGGAGAGGCTGCAGGAGCTACGGTGAGCAGAAAGAGAAAGCAGGGGCATCTCACTTTGAGGTTAGGGGGAAACAGACCATGAAAAGAGCTCTCAAAGCAGTTTGATTGGAAAGTAGGCTTTGGCTGGAAAAGTACGGAAACTCCAACATTTCAAGAAAAGCTGCTCTAAGGGAATATGGGGAGTTTAAAGCCTGTTTCAGAAAATCTATTTTGAGCAAGTCCTAGCTTACCTTAAGGGGAGGGGTAAACATCTGGAAACGGGAGGCACAAGCGTTAAGAAAACAAGCAGGTACACGACCAAATCTACTGACTCCAAACACCCAGGAGGCCCTGTCAGGGAGCTTGTACTTACACAGGAGACTCCTATACTTTTCTTTTAAAGAAGCCCCGTTTAAAACAGACTCCAGTGTCTACGAGAACACTTGTGCAGGCACACGTGCAAAGAGCCAGGGATGTTCTAAGCTGTACTAAAGGGATTTTAAGTCTTTACCCAGATGACAGCTCTGAGTGAAAGACCAAGAAGCATCCTAATACCAAGCAAGAGTGATCTGGCCAGGCCCCAACAGAAAGCAAGGAATGGAAGTAAAAGAATCGGCAGTTACCATCCAAGAAACCCAAAAGCACAAGTAAGAACTTCTGCCCAACAGTAAGGTACTGCTAAGCTACTTGTCACATCGCTACCAAACTTATAAGGTCCCTAGTACGTTCAACTCTGTTCCAAGCTGCAGTACCAGTAAGCGGGGGGTGGGGGGTGGGTGGGTGAGAGGTAGCTGGATCAATCTGACCATATAAGACAAAATTAATCACTAACAGGAAAAAGGGAGATTAAATTTGGGCTTAGGATGTCTACTAATGGCCAAACCAGCAACACAGCCTCCACACGAATGCTCACTCTTTATGTATGCACTTCTGTGACCTAGAGGGGCTATCCGAGAAAAACACATCCATAAGCTACCTGATCCTTCTACGTTCTGAAATGGCACTATTTCGGCTTGGGATCTTCAGAATCTGTTACAGAAGCCTGTGTTTTCCGGTTTCTCTAAATACCTGTGCTGGCAGATGTCTGTCTCATTTTCTATATGGGAAAACTGAAGCCCTCAGTGCCTTCTCCATTTCTCACCATTGGGGTTTCTGAATCTCTGCATCGGATCCAAACTGAACACAATGTTTAGTTTTCACTGGACCAGGAGGATGGGAACGAGGTGAGAATGACCATCTTAAATAGGATAATATCCCCAAATAATGAGCCAATAGCCAAGAACTACAGGAAGTTGAAGCCAAAGCCACAGATTACCTAAGAATATCCTCAAATTCCAAAGCATACACCTGTATACCCCAAAAGAGATATAATTTGGGAATTGTCCCTACAAAGCAAAACATGAAGGATAACTAGTACATCAGGAGACGTAAACTGTAGCACCCAATTCTTAGAGGTTACGGTTACATCTGCTGGTAATGTTTGGATGCAGGCAGAAGCCAAAGTGGGCCAATCAGACTTCATGCCCCAGTGCTGGTGTCCATCCTGAGGAAGGATGGAGAAAAAAGGTTGCTGTTCAATTGCTGCCTCTAGACAGAAGACACCATTTGCTCTCAGGAAACGCCTGTCTATACAATATAAACACTATTCTTTTCTAACTAAAAGGTGTTGTATGTAGAACCTGCAAGGTTCTCCAGATATATGGGCCCATGTACATCTCCCCAACATGAGATCTCCTACGTCACAATTTGGCGACTGCAGATAGAACGAAGAGTCCTTAGGATGAGGATGTGAGAAACTGACATTTTTGGGGTGTCTCAATCAGTTCTTTGGACTAGTTATTCGGAGGGAATAACCAACGTATCTAAAGGGTAAAAAATGGGGAACTGGAAAACCCATCGCAGAGTTCCTTTTCCTTGTCTTGTCATAGGCCTGCACAGACCAAATGACTTTTCTGGGTACTGGGTTAAGGGATTCTTCAGTCATCCAAATGGAATCACCCTAATGGAAGAAACGGTCCCATTTTACAGGTGGGAGAAATGAAGCAAAAGGACAGCTAAAGTCTCAGGTTCAGATGTTCAGTCCCCAAAGTACTAATTATCAGTGGATCTCACAAGTTCTCTATCAAAAGGCTGTGAAAAGCAAAGCCACCAGGAATGGTGACATGCAGGGACATGTTCTAACTGCTGAACTGAATGTAGCCCCAGAGACTACAATCCGTGCTCTGCACTGACAAGTGCCTCCCTCGTCACTGTTCTCCTAGTCTCCACTCTGAAGGACCTACACTGTGAGCAGCAGGATTGGGGAAGGGGGGACACTGGACCCACAGCAACACTAGCAACTGTGCTAGCTCAAACAAGAGAAGGCAGATGCTGCCGCTGCCACCGAAGGGTGAGACAGGGACAAAGGTCTACCCCAATGCCTAGCTCTCCTGCCCACTGTGAGGCCAAATTAGCCAAGGGCTATTAGCAGCTCCACCTCCCCTCAAGTCTGTTTTTCTGGAAGATATATGGGCACCTTCTCAAACTCAACCTGTTGCAGAATCTAGAAAGAAGTATCTGGAACCCACAGCCTAACTGTTGATTTTATGTGGACTACCTTAGATTCCAGTGATCTCAAGCGCTCTAAAATTTTGTGGAATAAATAAGTGGTTTAAGAACAGAGAAGGAGGGGCGCCTGGGTGGCTCAGTAGGTTAACTGCCTGACTTTGGCTCAGGTCCTGATCTCATCGTTCATGAGTTCAAGCCCCGCATCGGGCTCTCTGCTGTCAGTGCAGAGCCTGCTCCAGATCCTCTCTCTGCCCCTCTCCCAC